CCAGACTAGAAAGAGACATGGGCTTTCTCAGTCTCCCCACGTCCTTGAGTTCCGCCCAAGCCCATGAGTAGAGCCAGTAGAGAGGTCCCCATGTCACTGCCCTACCTGTCTTCATCTCTATACCAGCAGAAAGCCAAATGACTGGAATAAGGTATGGGCTACTTAAAAACATGCAGAACCTGCGTCTCAAATGCTATTTATTTATATCCCAATTTGTAACCTCCCATTACACCTATGCAAGACTCGAATGAGGTATGGGCTACTTAAAAGAACACTGAGAACCTCTGTCTCAAATGCTATTTATTTATACCCCAATTTGTAACCTCCCTGTACATTTGTACAATTGTTTACTTAATAATGCTGTTAAACTGGTTTACACTCTCCTTTTTTAAACTAAACCTTGTTCTAGGCAACAATAGTCATGAAATAGTGGCTTTTTTAAAATTAACGAACATTAAAACAAATATATAACTGAGAATTTAAAAAGAACATGTCCAAAACATTTCCTTCCCTCTTATGAACCGTATGTCTGAGTTCCATGATGTATGGAATAGTGACTGAGAGCCTTGTTCTGAAAGAAAAAGAATCCAGAGGAAATGTCCTGAGGCGTAGGCAAAGGGGTACAACCCATACAGCTGCAGTGTTGCTGCCCCAACCACAAGATCCTTTATCTGTAATGAAAAAACTAATCGGAGTAAAGGAATAAAGGAAGAGAAACAATAGGAAAAAAATCCTTTCATAGTTTTTTTTAAATCACTAATTTCAGTTTACTTTAGATCAAATTGCTTTTGGCCTTAGGGAACTCTTTTTGTTCTGAATCTAAAGGCAATAGAATCTCTGTAAATTAACTGCCCTGGGGACAGTAACCAACTGGTCAGCACACAGATGTGCAGATGTGCAGATATGGTCAAAACGTAAGGAACTAGACCTACTGTACTGATATGTATAGGTCTATGGAAATTAGGTCAACATTGTAGGGAGGTGGTGAACTACGGAGGTTCTACTGTATTTAAAAGACAACTTTCATTTGAGGAGATAAAAAATTCAGAGAGGGATATGGGTGGTGATGTACGACAATGTCAATACTGAATGCCAGTAAATTGTGCACTTAAAAACAGCAAATTTCATGTGTATGCACTTGCCACAAATAAAACAAAATGTTTTTGAAAAGCCAACCGTGGCCAGGCACAGTGGCTCATACCCGTAATCCCAGCACTCTGGGAGGCCGAGGTGGGTAGAAAGCTTGAGCTCGTGAGTTCAAGACCAGACTGAGGGCTCGGCGCCTGTGGCTCAATCGGCTAAGGCGCCAGCCACATACACCTAAGGT